GCTAGCAGCCACCGGTCGTGTGGAGGGTGCGGTGTCACTGCTGGTCAGTGGGGAGGTGGGCGCGGAGGACCTGGTGACTCAGGGGAGGGGTGGGCTCGCCCACCCTGAGGGTCCTGGGCCCCCCTAGCACAGGCGGCCCTCAGGCCACAAGAGTCCTTGCCCATGGTTGGTTACACGGAGTTCCAGCCCCAAGTACTAAGTCACGTGGGCACAGGGAGGCCCCTCAGCGCCCTGCACTGTGTAGAATAAAAACGGTTCTTTTCAACCTGGACTCCTCGGGGACAGCAGTGGGGGTGGACTCTTCTGTGCTGGCATCGGGGGGAGGGGGGGGTGAATGAATGAACGTGAACGAACAGCCAATTGCATGAGAGCAGCTCCCTGATGTCCAGATGCAGCATTGCCGTCTCTGCACCACACAGCCTCTTCCTCCAGGAAGCTCTGTCCTCCACCTCGGTCTTGCTGGCTGGACCCGCTGCTGTGGAGCATTCTTAATCACCTGTTTCCCAGCTAATTTCTACCCATCCGTGGTCTCAGCCTACACAGAGTCCTCCAGGAAGCCCTCCCTGATTACCTGGGAATACCATCCCTTCACTGTCCCCAGCCCCCAGTGTACCCGCTGGACAGGCCCAATTCTGTGGGTCTCCTAGGCCCAGCCCAGAGCAGGCTGGGAGGCTGGGAACTGCGCTCTGCTGGGCCCCTTGGGCAGGAAGCAAAGGGTGGGGGTGCTGTGGGGGAGAAGCTTCCTCAACTTTGAAGCTGCAGCTCCTCCCTCCTGGCCCGCCTCGAGCCTTGGCCCTTCCCAGGGAGGGGAGGTGCAGACAGAGCTAAGAGGGCAGGGGGTTGGGCTGGGGGAGGGGTAAGGCAGAGGGGCGCCTGGGACGCTGGACTAAGGGGTGGTGCAGGGGCTACACCTGGAGACTGACCGGCCCTGCTGGGGGTCACCAGCGGGGGCCCAGGAACAGACTGGGAAGTCTGAGGGCCGCCATCGCTTTCACTTCCTCGGTTGTGCAGACAGGCTCAGAAGCTGCTGGGTACCCAGGCTAGAGGCTGCCCTCGGGCTTGGCAGCTCCTTGCTCTCCAGGCCTCTCAGACGCCACAGCCATTGGACACCTGACCGGCGGGTGGGGTGGCCTGAGTGCTGGGGTGGCCTGAGCGCTGTTCTGCTCACCTCCCCTTGCCCAGGGGATGGCCAGAGGAGCCTCAAACCTGCTTTGCAGGCGGGCAGTGAAGGCCACAGAAGAGAAACGAGACCCCTGGCCTTGCCTGCTGTCCTCCATAAAGCACACACTGAGGCCAGGCTGGTGGAGAACAGGCCGGGGCCTTTATTGGCCGGTAGCACCTATTTCCTGTGTCGGTCACAGGCTGTGGGAGCAGGTGGCTCCTCCCTTTCCATGTCCCTTCCCCCCACCCCCAAACCTGGGACAAAGGAGTAGCTTGGGCTCCGGGGGCAGAACTGAGTCGAGGAGTCCACAGCATCCTGCCAGCTCAGGCAACTCGACCTCAGGGTTGGGAACCCAGCACCAGGAACCAGAGAACCAGAGAAGAGGTTGATGGGGAGGCAGGGAGGCGGGTCTGCCCTCCAAGTCCCTGCACGTGCTGAGGGCCGGGCAGAGCTTCGGCTCCCGCAGTGCCAGCAGGCCCGATGCCTGGGCGGCTGATGGGAAGACAACCACGAACCTGAACCTGCCACCCGCTCCCTGCAGGCCTGCAGCACCCCATTTCACAGCAAGGCCCCACCTCCCCGCTGGGCCAGCTCTCCTCAGACCCCGTCCCTGCTGAGCCTCATACGTGGCAGCCATGCCTGGGGTGCCAGGACCTAGACCTGCTTACCCCAAAGGCCTAGTGTCAGAGGGACCCTGAGGACGTTAATAAATATGGATGGGCGGTCCCCAGAGGCGGCTGGCCTGGTCCACCCGAGGGGCCACCGCCCTCAGCCTCTCCTGTTGCGGCTCCTGGGGGCCACGATCCGGTAGCTGGCGGTGTGTCCTCCCCTCTTGCCCCGAAGGAGGTTGGGGGTGCCCACGCCGGCAGGGCCTGCCCCTGACCCCTCTGGTTCTGCCGGAGGGAAGGAGAGAGGCAGGGTTAGTGAGGTCTGTGTAGGGCGCCCACCTCCCCTGGGCCCTCTGGGGGGGTGGGAGACTGGGCACCCAGCCAGGTGTACTCTGCCCTGGCATCCAGGAGGCAGAGCTGTAGGAAAAGGGGGTCTGCAAACTGGTTAGTATCCCCCACCTCAAGGAGTTCTCAGCCCCCAACCCAATGAGGGCACGCGGGCCTCTGGTGTTCTGTCAAGTGGGGATAAATGGACCCACCATGTTCCCGAAAGGCTTATTCTGTAGTGAGTGCTCCACAGAAATGGTATTGTTTTTTCTTTTCTACATTTTGGGGTGAAGGTATGCTCTGAATCAACCCCATTTCACAGCTGGGTAAACTAAGGCCGAAGGACAGGCTCATTTTTCCTCTCTCTGATTAGGCCGCTTTTGGCGGGGAAGGGTTTAGGAAGGCCAGGCTCTGCCACCGACCTACTCTGTGGCTCTGGGCAAACTGGGCCTGTCGGGGCCTCATTGGTCTCGTCTCAAACCAGCGGGACAGTCCCAGTTGTACTCTGGGCCCTGGCCAGCTCCTACAATTATTGAAGTCAGTTCCAATCAGGCTATGGTGAGATATGCCCCGCCTGGAAGGGAGCTAGACCCCAAGAATAATTGGCATTCTTGCCACCTAAAAATCTACTCATCCTTCAAAACGCAGAGCATGACCTACCTCCTCTAGGAAGCCACCTGTGACTATCACTCAGTCCCTCCCAAAGCTAACCGAGCAGGCAGGCCGGTCGGGAGGACGGGCTGTTTTTCTAGGGGGAGAGCGAGGCTCAGGGAAAAGCCCAGGATGGACTCGACTACGTCTCCCAACCCCGGTTCACAGGAGAGAGACGGCCCGTGGCAGCACCAGCGTCCCCCGGAGGGCACTGCCTCCTCATAACCGTTAAGGCCCTGGCTCTGTGTCCAGCCTCCCATGCACCTCTGGGCTGCGATCTGGGGACTCGGCAAATAAACATGTCACAGGGGACGTTTCACGCCCTAAATCGGGGAGGACAGGAGGAGGGAAGCAGAACTTCCAGCGTCAGCCAAGGCCAAGTCCTGTCCCACCATGTCCTGTTATGTGGCCTTGGGCAGTCACAGACCTTTGAGCCTCCTCTGGAACTCAGGGGTCGCACTCCTGTTGTCACACCCGTAACGGCCTGAGCGCAAAGTGGCTTTCCCAGTACGAGCTGGATTACTTGGTCGCTGGGACGGTGAGCTTGTGGCCATGAATTAAATGGTTAAGTTCAGGGCCTTGGCTTCCTCTGGAACCCCCCCAGTGCCTGGTGGAGCAGGGGCGTCTGAACCTTTGCCGATGGAGCCCAAAGAGCCAGGGTGTTAGAGGACCGACCTCGGGGGGACCCCTGACCTTGCCACTGCTGCCCCTACGGCCCCGAGGGAGACACGTGAGCCCTCGGAACCCCTTTCTTCATCTGTGAAATGGGCCTGGTGTCTCCCGCCCACCTAGCAGGCTTGGTGTGAGGACTGGAAAGAGAGGATTATAAATCCTCCAGCCCAGCGGTTACTATTGTTATTCTTGATTGTATCCTAAACGTGAGTCCCAGCTGGGTCTTTAGTTAGCACCGCTGTGCATGATGGGCCAACAGGGATAGTTTCATCCCCTCCTCCCACACCACCCCTTCCAGGCCCATAACCAGAGCTGGCTCGTGGGATCTCTGCTCTAGGCTCATGGCCACAGAGAGTGGCCGTGGGCCTTCCTAAGTGACCAGCAGTTCCTCCCTGAGCTGCTGGAGACACAGCTGGCTGAGGGAGGGTGGGGGATAGATCCCAGGCCACAATGAGTCCCTTCTGGCTCCTGCCCGAGGAGGTGGGGGCACCTGAGAAGGTGCTGAGAGCCTGGGATTCGGAGAGGAAGGAGGTCTGGGAGGTGGTCAGTTATGTTTCTAGGAGTCAGAAGAGACATGTGGTCTGGTAAGAGGAGCTCTGGAAGCAGACCACACACACACCTTCCAACCTCCGGGCCTTCACCGTGACAAACCAGGACCCGGTGGGGCGGGGGGGCTGCCCTTCCCACCTTCTCCTGCTGGCGCACTGCCGGCACCTTCCCTGACCTAACACCAGCCCCATCTTCCAGGAAGCGTCCCACCCCCACTGAGAAGTGACTGTTCTCACCCCCGTCCTTGGTGCTCCTGGACCCCAGGGCCCTCGTCTCTATAGATACTTAGCCGGACAAACCAGGCCCAGGAGAGGTAACACCCACCTGGTGACTAACCTCCTTTTGTGCTTCCCCAGCGGCCTTCAAGGACCTTCTCAGACTGGGCCCTGCTACAGCATTCAGCCCTCAGCAATCTCAGGGAACCGTCCCTTCAGGCCCTCAGGCTTCCTGGCTGTTGCCCATGTTATTCCTGTGCCTCTCACTTGCCCCTGAGCTTTGCCCCTCAGGGTTCCACTGAGCCAGTACCACCTCCAGGGAGCCCTCCCTGAGACACCTTCCTCCTCCCCACCCCCCACCCACAGCCTGGTCAGGGGCACTTCTGTGCTCTCACAGCTGCCTGTACTCACTCCCCCGTGGTATTCCTCACCTTGGGTTTAACGGCCAGTTCCAGGGCTCCCCCTGCACCCCCACAGCCTAAGCTCCGTGAGAACAGGACTATGTCTGTCTTATCTGTTGGAGCCTGAGCCAAGCTAGAAGCCGTGCTCGCTCACTCAAGAACTAGTGACCCTAGCCTTCTCCGTGCCAGGCCCTATCTGCCTGCTGGATGGACGGACTCAAGAATGAGTGTCCGCGGGCCTGGGTCCAGCACTGGGAGTCGCCTTCTGTGACCCCGGCCCGTCCCAGGCCCTTGCTGGAAGGGGCTGCCCCTGCCGGCCCACCCTGCCGTTACCTGGCCAGATGATGGCTTCCAGCAGGGTGACCCGTCTGGCCAGGAGCTCCAGCTGAGCCTGCTGCTGCAGGAAGCTCTGTAAGCTAGGAGCCTGATGGGAGATCGAGAAGAGCAGACGGTGCGAGTCCGGCCTCCGAGGGCGGGGCCGGGGGCCGAGGGGGGTGCATGGGCCAGGCACCAGCGGTCTTCAAGGCAGGAGCCTGGGTGTGCGTCTCTGAGTGGGGACAGGGCTAGCCTGGCTCCTCACGTGACCAGATGGATGATGGGTAGAGGGTTGGTGGGTGAATTCCTGGGCTGAGATGAGGGCTTGACAGACCCCTACAGGGACCCTCAGGGGAGGTTAGGAGGACCGGAGGGAAAGGGAAGCTGTCACGGGGATATCTGAGGCCAGGAAGACCTGCCCGGAGGGCCTCTGGGGGCTTTTGGGTGAGGGGGGATCAGAATTGGTGGGTAGGATATTACCCAGAGGCCCCTGGGGCCTGCGCCTGGTCCTGTCACTCGCAGTCCCCTGCATTTCTGTGGGCCTGGAGACTGGCTCTGTTACCCATGCTTTCTCTAGAGCTGGACCCATTACCCATAATCCTCCTGCAGGCCTGGGCTCTGACTTTATTTCCCACAACCCCCTGCACTGTTGCAGCCTGGCTCTGTCACCCACAGTCCCCTTCCTGCTGGTCTGGAGTTTTGCTTCATTGCGGATTTCTTCCAAACTCGCAATCTGTCACCTCTGGTGTCCCCTGCAGGCCTGGAAGCCACATTACCCACAAAGCCAGGAGGCCCAAGTCTGACCTCAGAGGTGAGACCCAGGTTTCCCTGTGTTGGAGGGACCAGTCATTGAGGGGTCGGTGGGCTTGGCCTCTCCGGCCTCATGACTGGGCCCAGGCAGCTCCACCCTGAAGGGCCTGGGCAAGGCTGGTGGGCAGGGGCTGGGCTGTCTGTCCGTCTGTCTCTACTCACCATAGAGCCCAATCATTGTTTCCAAGATTAAAACCCTCTCAGCTAAAATCTTCAAAGCCTCGCGTAGTTGGTGCAACCCCTCCCCCTGCGGAGGAAAGAGACAGATGCAGCCGTGAAGGGGGCAGGGGAAGGGGCCCTGCAAAGCCTGCTGGTGAACCATGCCCCGCCCTGGTCATGCACCTGCAGCCGGCACCCCTGCCACAGCCCAGGGCCCACGGACAGCCGGGACAAGGCCAGGAAAGGACGGGAGGGGGCAGAGCAGGCAGAAGCAGCCCTCCCAGTGAGTCCTGGTGGATCCCAGCTGGCTGCTGTCTCCCCACACCCTTGCAGGTCCTGCTGCACCAGGGGTGAGGGGATGCCAGTCCACAGGGGCTGCACTGCTGACCAGAGCCTGCCATGGAACCTGCCACAGAATGTGCCTGGAGGTGGCCACAGAGCCCCACTGCGCCATCTCTAATATTCTTTATACCGACACACTTTCTGTCTATATCCATCAGTGGGCTCAGGCTACTTACCAATATTCTTTCCATTCAAATGAATATGTACAAGTAAAATCAGCACATGTTCAAGTGGCACTGCTATTGGGAAGCTGTTTAAAATGCTGGCAAAGCCCTGACCAGTTTGGCTCAGTGGATAGAGCGTCGGCCTGCAGACTGAAAGGTCCCAGGTTCGATTCCGGTCAAGGGCATGTACCTTGGTTGCGGGCACATCCCCAGTAGGGAGTGTGCAGAAGGCAGCTGATCGATGTTTCTCTCTCATCGATGTTTCTAACTCTCTATCCCTCTCCCTTTCTCTCTGTAAAAAATCAATAAAATATATATTTTTAAAAAAATGCTGGCAAAGCTGAGGTTCTGGCCCTGGCGCCCTCTCCCCAGTCCCTTCCCATTTTGGGCTCATGCCTCCCAGGCTCCGACTGCTACCTGCCTGTATTCTGCAGGCCCAAGAGCCCAGCCCTCAGCCCTACCCTCTCTTCTAAGCAGCTCCTCTAGCGCCCAGGCCCAGGGATGTGGCAGCGCCAGGCCCACAAAGCTACCCTCCTCCCAGGCCTCCCTGATCTGGGGGCTCCCTACTGCCAAGCAATGCCAGCTGCTGCCCAGGGCTCGTGGCAGAGACCACCAGCTGGCACTCACTATCACTTGCTACCAATCTGTCCTTTCCTTCCACAGCATAGGGCCCACGGTCTTGCCCAAACTCACACTCCCTCCCTCCTTTCCTAGTCCAGACTTAGCTATCTGCGATGTAGATATCTCAATTCCAACAGAGCCCCAGATGGCAAATATTTTTATTGATTTCAGAGAGGAAGGGAGAGGGAGAGAGCGATAGAAACATCAGTGATGAGAGAATCATTGATCAGCTGCCCCCTGCACGCCCCTGGGGATTGAACCCGTGACCCAGGCCTGTACCCTTGACCGGAATCGAACCCAGGACCCTCAGTCCACAGGCTGACGCTCTATCCACTGAGCCAAACCGGCGAGGGCTGGCTCACTGTGACTGTTATGATCCAGGTGTCCTGTCCACATCACATGGATGGAGCTTCCCTCGGGCCACTGAATGGCTATTGCAGCCTGGGGGGGGGTCACAGGGTCACCACAGGCTGTACACCAAAGTAATCTCTCTTCAAGTATTACGGGAGGAGGATCTAAATGTGAATGACCTTCAAAAATTATGTTAAACTATATCTCGCATGGACAGTGGGACAAGCGGACATCATGAGCCTCCTGCTGAGATGCAGAGGGTACCACATCCCTCCTCAGTGCTCCTGCCAGGAGCATCTAACCTGCCTCTGATCACCAGGAACCAACCAGGCAAATCCACATGGAGGAACATTCACCAAAAGGCAGAGTCAAGAGAAGAAAAAAGGGCAGAGGGCCCGTCCTAGACTAAAAGAGATTACAGATGCCTGGCGAGTGTGGCTCAGTGGTTGAGCATTGACCTCTGAACCAGGAGGTCATGGTTTGATTCCTGGTCAGGGCATATACCTGGGTTGCAGGCTCAATCCCCAGTGTGGGGCGTGCACGAGGCAGCCGATCCATGATTCTTTCTCATAATTGTTGTTTCTCTCTCTCCCTCTCCCTTCCTCTTTGAAATCAATAAAAATGTATTTTTTAAAATAGAAACTATAGGTTGCTAAAAAAAAAAAAAAAGACTAGAGGTACAACCAAATGTAATGTATGAATCTTGATTGAAGTTTTAAAAAAAAAAAACAGCTATAAAAGGCATTTTGGGTACCACTGATAAAGTTTGTATATGTTAGATATTAAGTGGCATCATTGTGCTGGATTCATGTCAGCTTTCTTAGGTGTGACAGCGGTATTGTGGCTCTTGGGGGAATGGCCATCGTCTTTTGAGATGCACAATGATGTGCTGGGGGAGATGTGGTGAAGCGTGAGACTTGCTTTCAATGGATCAGAAAAAAGGTCTGCAAATATATAAAGAGAGAAAGAGAGCAGACGTGGCAAAATACGAAGGGGAGAATAATAGTCATTGTAACCAACATCTCGGCGTATTTGAAAGTTCTTAAAATAAAAATTTTGAAAAACGTAAAAAAAAAGATTCTGCCTGGCCTGAGCGCCAGGGCCTGTTGAACGCCCCCACTTGGCCATAATAGACGTCTCCCACTTTCCATGGACAAAACCTCCTCTTTGCCTTCTCCTGGCTCTCCTTGACTCTTGTGCGTCTCCCTTAACTCTCGCTCCCCCTCGCAGCCAAACCAGCACCCAAACGTCGCTTAGCTCCAGGGACATCTGTCCACCCTCACTGTCCCCATTCCCAGTTCCAGCCCCCAGGCTCTTGCCATGGTGACCAGGCAGCCTTCTGCCTACAGCCTTCCACCTCATCTTCCTGCTTTTCCCGTTCATTCTCCACAGGGTCACAGAGGCCCCTTCTGACCACATCAGTCTCCTGCTCATACTATTTCAATGACCCCCCGCTGCTCACAGAACAAAGTTCAGATTCCTCACTATGGTCTCCTAAGTCTTGACCTCTGTCCTTCACACACTGCTACTCCCAGTGCAGACACACGGCACCCCTTTGCCTGGTTAATGTATCTTTCAGGCCCCGGCACATTCTCCACCAGGAAGATGCTAAATCCACGTGCCCCCACCCCCCCATCACAACTGAGCTCCCCTTGTCCGGTTGCTGCTGGTTACTAGTCTGTCTGTCCCCCTCCTCCCCGCTGCCTCCCGGTGACCACCGTGAGGGTGGGGCCAGTGTCCGAATTGCATCTGTGTCCCGGGGCCTGACGCCCACCGAGGAGGTGCTTGGGGGAATGCTAGCTGGCTCCCCCCAGTCCTGGGAGCTGAAAAAGCCTGGGCCTGGCTGGCCCATCTCAGTCACTCCCTAGCAGTGCGTGCAGTGCGTGCACATGGCCACCGGGTGTCACTGCTGAGCTACAGCGGGGCCAGTGGCTCCGCAGTGGGGCTGGTCGAGTGTGGATAGGAGTCCCCAGAGTCCCTCCCCACACGACCTCATTCCCACCTGCTCCCAACAGAACAGCTCCCCAGCCTCCAAAGCCTCATGCAGCCCCAGCCCAGCAGGCCCCTCCCAGGTAGGCAGCAAGCAGGCGCAGAGGTGCGGGAGGGGGAGGGGGAAGGGGAGGCAGGTGGATGGGCAGGGGCCCTGCTACCTCTTGGGGCCCCTCCCACAGGTGGTCCTGGGTTTGAGGCCTGATGTGGGATAGTTCAGGCATCAGTTCTCCGGCTGGGGTCCCCAAGCAGGGACGGGGCTGCTGAGCCTAATTCAGGCTTCACCTCGCTCTCCCGCCTTTCCTGGGCCGGTGGGAAATGTGCTGGGGGGGTCCGGAAGGGGCTGAGGAGAGGCACAGGGCTGGGCTCACACGGGTGTGCTTAAGAGGCTCTGGAGCCACCCGGGGTGGGGGGTGCTGTGGGAGAGGTGGCGTGGCAGTGAGGAGCTGGGAGAGGCTTGCCAGAAAGGTAGCAGGACCCCAGAAGTCGGGGAAAGACATGGGGTTGGACTCGTGCAGGGTGGGGACTCCCACGGCTGTATCCATCGCTGACCCCACAATCAGGAGCAGAGAGGGCAAGGCAGGCGCTGGGTGCTTCCCGTGTCCTCACCAGCTAGTGCCCGCCAGGAAGCAGGACTTCCCAGCCAGACTGCACCAGGGATGGGGGCGGGGGAGAGGGAGGCACAGGACCAGCCTCCAAAAGAGCTTCCCAGTTGTCTCTCCCATAGGGGTGCCTGCCCCTATCCTGTCCATTTTCCAAATGTCGCCTATGTCCCTGCATTTAGGGGCTTTTGGTCCTCTCCCAGTGTGTCGCTTGGGTAGGTAGATTTATGATCTCTGATGATTGTGACGGTTTCTAGGACCCCCACATATGGTTTCTAGGTGCCCTTTCTCTTTTATTCTGTCTCCTGTGTACGTGACAGTTTCTAGGCCCCCCTCCCCACTCTTCCTGGGCTTCCTTTGTGCAGGGTGCTCTCTAGATCCCCTCATCTCACTTTCTATGGTTCTCCTGTGCCTGGGACAGTTTCTAGGTGTCTCCTCCCCTTCCTCCTGGGTCTCCTCTGTATGCGATGGTGTCTAGGACTTCGTGTTAATTATGGGTCTTTTGGGCACAGTGGAGTCTATGACCTCATTTACCATCTACATTATATGCGTGACAGTTTCTAGGCTGCTCTCCCCACACTCCGTGAATTTCCTCCGTGGGTGACGGTGTCTAGGTGCCCTGTACCTCTTACCAAGGGCTCCTGTACCTCAGCATGTGTAGCCTCCCTGCCTATATAGGTTCCATTGCTTTCCTAAGGCCCCCATCTCATTCTTCACCCTTCTCTTTCTTCTGTGGACAGGGGAGCAGAAGCCAGAGCCCTGGCTAGGGGAGGGTCATGGAGGCAGGGGATGCAGTCTGGACTGGGTCAGCCCACACTGCCAGGAGGAACAGGCAGGCCACCCTGGCCTGGAAAGGACGCAGAGGGAAGGCGGAGGCAGGGACGTGAAGGCAGAGACAGAGAGCGTGGGGTCTGCTGATGAGGCCGGCCCTGCCCCGTTGGGAGGGACAGGAGCAGGGAGGGGGCGAGGCCTGAGAACGGTCAAGGCTCATCCCTGGGAGACCAGGTTGCAGTGGGGATTTGGCGGGGGGCACCCCACTCCAGAATGACCTCCTGAGTGTCCAGGGCAGGCGGGGGCAGCCGTGCGGGCCCTGAGCTTACCCAATGGCTCTTCTCACCGGGGTCTCCTTTGAGGCCAGGTTCTCCCTGCAAGGAGAAATAGAGGTAGAAGCACCCGAGCCGGTTGGCTCAGTGGGTAGAGCGTCAGCCCTCGGACTGAAGGGTCTCGGGTTCGATTCCAGTCAAGGGCAGGTACCCTGGGTGCAGATTCCCCAGTTCTGGTCGGGGTGTGTGCAGAGGCAACCAGT